AAAATAAGTCCTTGTCAATTTAACCACTATTTAATCGGAAGTTACTCAAGTGCATGTATATTTGACAAACACCCAAACTTAATTTGTAAACTTCGACACAAAAATTGCATTCTATGTTTTCAACATATTTCTTTACGTAGCAATACCTTCTACTACCTTCTACTTATTATCCTGATTTTTGGTATCCTTTATATTTGGTACAAAGCGACCATACATAAAATTCAGAAATTATTGAGGGAAAGAGACACTAATGCATGTACTTTCATCAACATGTATAGAGTGAATAAAACTAGTGATAGAATTAAGTAGGTGGCTGTTCTACATGCACGAAATAAGTCGTAAACGTAAAAAAAATTTGAGAATGATGTTTCATTTCATTGTGTACAGTAAATAATAACATACTAATGCATGCATGTATCTAAATGCTTTGTTTTCGTATAAATGCCTACATTTGTATCAATTAATTAAAATATCTAATGTTGTCTAATTTTAAATGTTAAAAAAACACTGTAAATGCGTAGTTATTATCAAGAAATCACATACAAATGCTGTATGTTGATCCAAGAACCATATGTTCAACCAATTCTCGTGAAACGACGTTTCATGTTATTTAATCACTGGTCAAAAGAAAGAAGCCATTATACAGGCTCATCACATGTAGTATTCCCAGAAAGAGCCATCTTTGATAGACTAGAAAGGCTCCTACGTGGACTGCTACCAACTAAAAAGCTACTGCTAGACTCTGAGAATATTTTCCGGAAACTGGAAAATAAATTACACCACATAGTATTTATTGTAATCATAATGATAATATTTCAAGATACTTACAATTTACGAATCCCAGATTCAGATGTTTTCTTCCAAGGTGCATCATCTGGTTCGTAAGGAAGTGGTCCTTGAACTGGAGCATCTTTATCTTCTTCGGCCCTGCAGAAGAAGTAAGTTATAAATGTTATTTTAATAGAAAATCGCAATTTAAAAATAATCACATACGTGTCAGGTTTTGGTCGATAAAGTTCTAATTCGTCTTCTAAATCCGAGACTCTAGCTTTTAGTTCGTTTCGCTCGTGCAAAATTTCTTTCAATTCTGCAGTAGTAAATCTTGGTCTGTCTGGGTCGTCGAGGTCATAAACAGCTTTATTTGTTAGATCTGGGCATCCCTGAAGTTTAGTTAAATCTTCGTTTTCCTTTCTCGCTAAACCAAGACGTGATCGTAGATTTATCAATTCACGATTTTGGTCTTGCAACTGGGCCAAAAAGTCTGCTCTTTCTTCCACTAATCCACGAGCTTGCATCTGTGCTTGACGTTGTTTACGTTTTAATTCTCGACCAACAACTCCAAGTTTCTCAACTTGTGCTGTTAACTGCAAAAGAAATAAAAATATGTTAGAATGAAACGTATATTATACGATAGGAGAAAACAGATGAAAAATTAAAAGACAGCGTCTTAAACTACATCCAATAAGATGATATTCTACCGCTACTTATATCAAATTACATATGAACATAAGTACCAATTTACATTTTCTATTTCCAAATTCTTCTGTGCCATCTCTTTGTCTCTTGCACGAATTTGATCTCTTTGCTTATCTATCATGGATCTTAAATGTTGTAACACTGCTACATCGACTTCCTGACTAGCAGTAAAAGCTGAAAATATATTTGTATAATTAATAATGCATGTATGTATACATATGTAAGTACAAGATAAGATATTAGAAATTATCATTACAGTTTAATTAATATTTTTATCTTGAAAGGAACAATGAACTGAATAAAAGTTACTTGATTTTAGAAAAGTATAGCATGATGAATAAATATTTTTAAATGAACCTTGAAAATTTGAAATACCTTATCCTGTCTGAGATAATAGTTTTAGCATTGTGTTAGTAAATAAAGGGTAGATTGTTAGTACTTTGTTTACTGCTGTACTGACTGTCACTACGTGATTCGTGGAGTGCTTCTGCTAATCGTCTATTTTCTTCCTGTAATCGTGTAACCATTCCCACCAGATCACGAGATTCTTGTCTCCAATGTTCTTCAATTTGTTCTAATTCCTGGGTAGTAATTGCACAAATATTAATAATGAAAATTAAATGTAACAATAAGAAATCAAATGTAAAAATCATTAAATGTAACAAGAAGGAAATACTTTTTCAAATCTCTGCCTATCTTCAGCTTTCCCAATTTTATCACTTTCCAATTGTGAAATCTTTGCACGTAACTCTTGAACTATTGTATTTTCACGTTCATTTTTGGTAGCAAGATTTTCCAATAGTTCCAATGCATGTATCACCTTTGGCATCAAATTAGTCACAGATTGTACTCCAAACGAATCGATTAATTTCTCACATTCTTTTCCTATTTCCGAAGCAATATCATAAACATCTACAACGGATACATCCGATAATACAGTATAGTCCTCCATGTTGCTGGTCGTATAATTTTCCCGACAAAAAGGCATGAATACTTCTTATATCAGAGTATACTATATATGAATCTGTTGATAATGGAAGAAAATCAATGCATTACTTAGGTAATCAATTAAAGTCTAAAGAATGTGATAGCACCATGAATGTGAACAACTTTCTGTCAATTGACATTCCATGGTGCTTTCAAAACATTGTTATATGTACAGACAGTCACATAGATTTCTTTCAATGGAGAGTAAATGACATTTTGAATATTTACTATGTTGTCCCACTTTAAGAATTACTTCAGAATAACACAGAATTAATAGGTCTACCAATGCGTGACTGACTATATATGAAACTTAACAAATGTAATATTATAAGACAAGATGCAGCCAAGAGTATAATATTAAAACTAGCCTTATTGCAGAATCAGCAACAGTTAGAAAATATTGTCAGAGTTGAATATTCTGAGCACGAATAAGTGATTTATCATAATTTCTGTTAAGCACATCTAAGTAGAAGTAACACAATTAACATAAGTTTCTTTAAACTATGTTTATGTAATACATTTCTGTATTACCCAAGGCGTGGCTTTAATTAACAAGATAATATTTGACGTGCAAGATTGTCAATGATACTACTAAGAATTAACTGACGACATTTAAATACTTGAAACTATGAGATCACGATTAATCGCGCCCGCAATGCTTATGTCAAATTCCGCCCAATTCTGTACATTATCGCAGTGTTAGGAGATACTATCATTTGTTATACATACACGTATATATAGACTATTAATCCGACCGTGTGCACCATGTGAAACGACTGCAGAGATCTAAATATTTAAAAAAAGAAGGATTAAATATGTTAAGAACCGATGATATAGTAACTCTGTAACTAAGCTAGCCTTTTCTTTGGTTCCGCGATTTTCGCGAACAGCATGTTCAAGCAGCCAAAGCTTCACGGCGATTGGATGTTTCCGATCGAACGACTTCAAACTTTTTGCGACTGTAAAACTGAACATTTGCAATTAAGATTATCTTTTTATACGTACGTATTGATAATACTTCATTGCTGAAAATCAAAGTAGCAAAGGCAAAACTTATCGAATCGATTACATATTTCATAGATACAGTGAAGTAGTGATATATTGCAAAAAATTGCATTTATAAATTTTAATTTTAAAATTCTTACACGATTTATCAAGAACTTGTAAAATAATTATGATATTAATATACAATCAAATTTATATATATAAATTAATTGATCGCATATATTTATTTCATACACGTTTGGAAATACCATATATATGTATGTAGTCAAATATTAACATTCCTCGAATAATAAAAAAGGTGCGATTTGTGGGGAATAATAAATT